GAGAGAGAGAGAGAGAGAGAGAGAGAGAGAGAGAGAGAGAGAGAAAGAAGAAAGAGAGAGATGGAAGTAATCGCCAATAAAAATCTAGCTAGCTCACTCGCAGAAGTAGAGACTGAACGCCCCACGATTTTCTACTAATATTTTCAGCAAGGGCGGGCACATGTACTGGCGCATTCAGCATGCATCAACACCATCGCACAGAGTCTGAGCACGGAGAGTGTGCGAACGAAGATCGCAGTCATGGAGATGCTGGGAGGGTTGCTGCTCGTGCCGGGCGGTCACAGAGGAGTGCTTGACGCCATGTACCACTACCAGGGCTACGCCTGCGAGAGGGCGCGCTTCCAGGTATAGTATCCTATGATTAGTACGGCCCGCCAATGATTCCACTTCTGATTGAAAAACATAAGGGGCAGGCTCGAACGTGTCTAACAAACGCAGAAAGCTACTGTTTTTCTAGTGATATACATGACTTCCATCGCGTTACGCGATAGGCAGTATTGTAAAGAAAATCCATTGTTGGGACTTTTTCTTTTGCCCTGTTTTAATACAGAACCGGTCGATCGTGTGCTAATCTACAACGTGTTTTGTTATGTTCTTATACATGCAACCATCTTTAATTCTTTCTAACGATCTCTAACGATCGTTGAGCGTGCAGAGGCGAAGAATGTTGTTGCGTGATAAACTATCTGACTGTTATAATAGCGGAGGAATTCGCACTAATTTTTTTAGAGTTTAGTACACGATTTGGGTCGAACCACGGGCGTATATAAAGAAGAGGTTAGCCTGAAGACTGCGATAATGTCCTTTGTCAATGCAGCGATCAACTATGGACCTGGAAAGGTATACAAGCCGATCGTACATGACAATTATTATAACCGCATGTTGTACATAATCGCATATTGAATGTAATCGCATGTATCGAACATGGTCGTATATACCTAATACTTCGAATGCGTAATTAGTATGACAATATTTGGTCAAGTTTTATTATTGCATTGAAACAAAGAATGAAAATTAATTCTCTATTTTTAATGAAAAATTTACGGCCGCGCACATTATGCTCATTTATACTGCAAACGAGATTTTTAAGTGTGCGATTGCGCATGTGCCAAATTCATATCGCTCAGATTATAACCGTTCTTGGAGCGGTTGTACGTAGCGTGTACGTGCGCGTGTGGGCGTTTCTGCACGAATGCGTGTACGCCCGCGCTCGCTCGTGTACGTGCAGGCGCGCATGTACGCGCGCACATACACGCACGCGGTCACATTAATCTACGCACATGCGCGTGCGCACGGAATGAACGGGTATCTGGGTATGGACAACACTAAAGGAAAATTCGATAAGCCTATCGAACTGCAAACACATACCACAAACACAGATGCCTCTCATATTGAAATATAACACACACACAAAAAGACGTGCGTTGAAAAAATTGACTAACGTGTAATCCAAAATGTTGAACTGTCTGATTTAATTGCATCGATGTAAAAACCACATGTAGGACGCTCACATCGTCAAGTGACATCGAATTTCACAATGAAATTACAAAAATTGACATCGTTTGACATATTTACGACTCTGCACACGTCAATTTATTTTGCACAGGATTGCCTGGAATATCGCGTTCATCTCCGATATGAGTTTTTGATGGTTGGAATTTATCCTATCCTAGAGAAACTGCAAGGGCATGAAAACGGTGCTTTAGATAGGTACGCCAGTTTTGTGTCAAGTGTAAAATCGCATGTAATAGTCAGGTCTAATCCAGATATCTAACGTGTCGCCGTAGCGCCAAATTTAGATTGATTTGCTCATCATCGCAGCTAGTATATTGCTATTGTTATTACATTCTTATCGCTATTTACCTGAGGAAACTGAACATCCTTGTTACCTGTCTCATTATTCAGATAATTCGTGTAACTAACAATGCACATATTACAATACACATTATTTTGTTAAAAGGTGTTCAACTTCACACAGTGTATTTTTGAAATATTGACAATATTACACAGTCAAGATAGATCCGCACGATCAAGATATATGGCGGGTTGAAGTGTCCAATCCATAACTAACAACAAGTGTCTTTAATTAAATAAGATCTATTCAAAAGTATATTTTTACCCAATTCGTACATCAGAAATGTGCAAAAACTATTCGTAGCAAAGAGTTTTTCTTAATATAAAGTTAGAATCAGGATTAAAAGGAATAACCTCTCACTAACGAGGAGTGATCGCCAGGTGCTATGTGCAGCCACAGATAATTCTGGTAACTACTACTCTAACTTTCAACAATACACTGTGTGATATTGAACACATTCTAACAATATAATGTGCATCGTAGTATGTGTATTGTTAGTAACCAGAATATTTTCAACATTATTATAATTTGCGTATTGCGGATTTTCGTGTTCCAGACACGTTTCGTTCTTCGAAATGGTGCGACGCGAGGACGAGAGAGAGATGGCGAGGCGGTTCGAGGACGTTCAGATTGACAGCCTCAGCGCTACCTCGATCTTTGATGGCCTGCGTCGCAAGCTGTCGCACACAGCTGCTTACCCGATCTTCCTCTCTGTTCTCCAACATTTCCTCCTCATGCCGCGTACGTGAGCACAGCGTAATAATTCCAGTTGCACGTTTACATTCACACTTTTCTAGTCGCTACTGAATGAAACAGGTAGTGATCAAAAACGCAATAATAACTATATATTTTCAGACGTCTAGGGCAAAACCACTTGAAATGTAAGCTCACATGTAATTGTGTCCGTGATGGTGTACAAGTATGGCGATTACTGTAAACCATCCGAGAGAACGTGAAGTGTTTGTGATATTGACGTGCAACTGATAATTTCGATTTATCCATCGCGTGCTGTTTAAAATTAGTAATAGAATATGTGGATTGTTATATTTTTATCTGAATACATGAAGAGATTTATTCGAGTGCTATTCACATTGTATACTTACTAAGAGCAACATTTAGTTTGCTATTCTGATTCCTTTATCCCCGATAGAAGAACGGTTTACAAAATACATCACTGTAATGCTAAACTCAGTTGAACATTCATATAAACAAATCGCTGTCTTTCTTAAACGTTATTTATAAAAAACAATGTTTGCATAAGATTATCCGACAATTGTCGTACCTAATTATAATGAATAAATTACGGCATTAAATGCGTTCTACGATATGACGGACAATCACACGGATCACAATTTGATGGTTGCAGTAGACTCAAACTGTTCTCCGTACCGATGGCAACTGATCGATCGCCTGGTTCAGCAAATCGTCCTTCAATCGCATCAGATGACAACATCTGACATAGATGACATGGACAAGACATTGCACATGTAAGCAACATTACAGAGTCACGCATTGAAGAGCGAGAGCAAGAGATAGGGAGGGAGAGAGACCGCGAGAGCGAGAGTGAGAGAAAGGGAGAGAGAGAGGGAGAGAGAGAGAGAGAGAGCGAGAGAGAGCGAGAGAGAGCGAGAGAGAGC